AATATCTGACCATGAAGGAATGAATTGGGAAAATTCTGAAGAGGAAAAGATGGGACAGTCTTTTGTATTGACTGAAGATTCATGCCATTCTAGACCAAAAGTGGGCATGACATGCAGTAATAAGGGAACTTGCATACTTGAAAAAAAGAACCTCTCCCTCATGTTTTGAATGTGAAACAAGATGTACAGGATTGTATCATTTCCAGATGAATAAGTAAAAAAAAACAATATAAAAATTGCTTGACTTCAAATGACTTGATTTCTGTCTATAGTGTTTTATTAAATAACCAGTTTCTTTACAACATAATGGAAGTGGTTTGCTATTGTTTTCTTCTGGAAATTTTTAACTTCTCTGCTCTGTACCCCTGGAATTTATTTATTTTTATCTCCCATTGAGCTACTGGTTTACTGGTTGGAGGAGTCAGCCAAGATCAGTCAAGTAGGCAGTACTAAAAATATGTTTCTTACTTTTCTTTAAAATGTGTTCCTTTGGAGTCCATGGAGGGGCAAATGACAAACGTGTGATCACGCAAAAGCTACTTCCATCAGATGGTGGGACCAAATATAAAACTGCAGCAATTGTGTGATGGAGTCATTATGTGTTGTTATTTTGGTGTAATGGTTTGCTGTGGATACCAAGCAACTGTATTTTTCCTTATTTCCCATATTTGGGAAAACACACACCTAATAATTGTGTAGTTATAGAATTAACATAATAATTATAGGTAATAAATAAAGTTGAGGTTGTAATTTTTTAGTATTTCACTGTGTTGAAAAGAGTTGGAAGTCAACATCTTTTTTTTTAATCCTGCACTTCCCTCTCCTTTTTTAAAATATTTGTTTTATTGTATTTTCTGCTATAGTAAACCTTAATAAAACTTAGCAAAACTAATATTTGACAAACAACAAGGCAAGTGTTCCGTGTTTAAAGTTCATTTTATTAACAATGTATCCCTTTGATAGGAAGATAATGCTTTAGGAGGCCTGTAATATTCATAGACATGAACTGTACACACTATACAAAACAAAACAAATTTCCAAACCAATGAAAACAACAAAAAAGAATCAAGGTGAGAAGAACCTTTTTGGGACAAAGCCTCTTTAAAATTATACACAGCTCATGAAATTGTCATACAGAAAATATATAAATACTTTTTTCTTTCTATGTTACAGGTATATAATATAAATCAGATTTCAAAGTTCATTCAATGACCTACAAACAATAGAACCTCCAAATATGTAGCAGCTTGTTAACTTATATGGAAAATTGACCATACAGGATAGGGAAAATGAGTCTTTTCATAATCTCTCCCCCACCCATTCCGAATGACTAATTTACATAATTTGTAACCCAGGCATCATTTGGGTTATTGGCATCTATTATCTGAAGAGTATTTTCCCATTTTTCACAATAATTATATCTACATATTATCCCCACCCCTCAGTTCTTGCATTCTGTGCTACTCTAACCTACGCAGTCGCAAAATGGCAGCAAGATATCTTTTTCTTTTTGGCATAAATTATATTTTCCCCCAAATTAAATAGTGTCTATTTTACAAGCAAGTCAAGCAAAAAAGTGCACTTTCTGCATGCTGTAGCATCGCTATCCAGCTATTTTACAAAAATAGTCCTAAGGAAAACCACATTCTTTACTTTTTACTGAAAGTAAAAAGTTAACAAAAACATGTAGCAAATCTGGAGTTTTAAGAATATACAGTAATTCTTGCTAAAATTCTAAAAAAAATGAAAATAAGGCTATTATTTCTAGATAATTTCTAACAGGGATATATGCATTAGAAACAGATGATTATTATACCTCTAAGCTGTGTAGCTTCCAAGGTATGTTAAAGGGGGGGGAACCTTGTCCATTTACACATTACCCCATTCAAAATGGCAAAGCACACACAGTCAAAATCAAAGGATAATTATGATTATTGCAAAAGAGATTATTCAAGGGACATTTTATTTTCCCTTGATTATAAAGAAAGGATTAACACATTCAAGGCAAGATTCAACTGAAGTAAGCACTCCTAATCTTAGAAATGCTTTGGTTGGTTGATATTATACCTCCTCTATCTGAAATTAATGTTCATGTTATAAACTGGATATTAACTTTGCAAAAGCTTTGTTTTGTTGTCCTGTATCATCTGTATACCATGTATAATCTTTCCATGATTACAAACTGTAACCCATTGCTTCCAACTGTTGCACATGAGGATTGGGGATGAGGAGTGCTGTCCATTATTTTTAGGGATGATCAAGTTCAGGAAGCCTACTGAGCTGTGTGGCTGATTCTAATTATGTCATATCTGAAGAGCATTTTGTATTCACAATAGTTACTAGAACCTAAGTAAGTTCCTAATGGTGCTATTCGGGTAACGACTCAAATGCAAATGGTCCCAAAATGTATGGATACAGATCAAATGACCATGTGTGTCCTTGCAGATAGTTTTTTCACTTGGCAAATGTTGGAGGCCAACATACGCATTTTATGTCCCCACAGCTGAATATCTAAATCTATCTTTTATTAATGTGATGTCTTTAGGTTCTTGACTTTGTTGTTGTTATAAAATGGGACCTGGAATCATTCTGTGAGTGGACCATAAAAATGGAGCTTTTGTGACTGCTCCACAATCTGTGATCTGAAGGACTCTTGCGAATTATATGAAAGGTTGCAGTGGAAAAAGGGAGTGAGTAGAAATTGAGTGCTTAGACGTGAACAAAGACAACATAAGATTTAAATCTATGCTCCTTGAAAAATATGAAATAAGGGGAAAAGTTGTTTTGTAAGCTTACGTTAAACTCAAGGTACCATTTGGGGCCTGTATCACTACAGATGGAGATGCTGAATGTGAAGAATCAATTGGAAATTTGATTATTCACACTATTTATTCTTTCCCCCCAGGAATGCATCATAAGGAAGATAGAAAATAACAATTATGCTTTGTCATTCATAACTTGCTATCTCTTTCATTCTCCTTCTCCCGCCATACATAAATACTCTAAGAAAGTCTCTTTAAACAACCCATGTACAAATAATTGCCAGTGTTTGTGGCTGAGGGAAGTGGGTGGAGAGAGAGCGGTTTCCAAAACATAGCAACCTGCTATGAGGGTCCATTCCAAAGCAATCCCAAGCATTAAAAATCTTTGCAAATTATTTCATCCTTTCAGTAACAAGAAGGAGCATTTAGATATAATTTTTTTTTCTACAGCATTTCTGGATTATGCCATCCAAACCTTTCAAAATGACAATGATATCAGGGTTGTGCATCATTTGAAAATTAATTCCAAAGAAGTGCTGTGAATGCCACACAGGTTAAGCACAGCACTTCCCAGTTCTTGATCAAAACTGCTCTGAGAGCCTAAAAAAAAAAGCTCATGCTGCTGCTTTAATGTGTCTTTAACTCTTAAAGCAGAAGTTTGAAAGAAGACATGGCTGCTACCCTTGCGTGAGGTTACAAATGCTTCTGCCAAAATATTTTACAGAATGTACAGCCCTGGTACCATTCCCACCATACTTATAACCTGTAATGCAAGTGTATACTTTTCCCATGTTCTACTGTATTACTCAGGTACTATTATCCAAATTTTGGGTTTAGTGATCAAGGAGAAATTGCTTCAGAGAAGTACCTAAGCTGAAAGAAACCCATCATCTAACGGCAATCAACTAGGGCTCCATAAACCTTTTCGTTCTATTTGCCAAGTGCAGAAACTGTTGGTCTGTAGGTAGCTTTATAAGTACAAATAGGTTCATTAATGTAAGACGTTAATGACTGGCCATGTAACAGTAAGTAAAACCAATTCATAATACATGAATTTCTACCCAGATTCCAGGTATGTTCTGTTACAACAAATTGATTAACAAAATAAATATAATATCATACAGATGAAACATCAGTTCAAATACTACAGCCACCATTGATCTGTATTTTAATACAAAGATCCAAATTCATTTAATGTTATTTTACAATTTTTGGGTGATGCTGTTGCCCTTAAATATAGATTAATTGATCTTGGGCAGTATTCTGAACAGAAGCCAAAATTCTATTTTTTTTAAATGTCAAAAAGTTATGTATACCTATGTATTTATCTAAGTGGGTATATTAGTACATTTAGCTGAATTTACTTTTTAATTTTCTACTGTAATTAAACTGTTTCTTCACTAACAACTACAATTGAAAGCTTAACCATCTTTGTTTTAAAGAAAACAGTTTTCATCTACTTTTGCCTTGAAATCAAAAATGCAAAACACAGAATGAATTAATTTCACTTAAGAGTTATTGATCTATAGATCTTATTACTCTATCATTACTGAGGTAGCATTCATAACTACTATGTACAATCAACTATTTGCTTTTTTTTTTTTACTGGAAGTATTGTACGAATCCTTTGGAATTTACACCACCATTTGGTCTACTGTGACTGCCATTTTGGTTCTGCACAGGAGTTTTATCATAGGAGTTTTATCTATGAACAAAGCATCTCTAAATATTGATGGAAAGTTATAAGTGAACCCTGCATGAGGAACTGAAGCCCTTCATTTTTTCCTGACATCCTTCTCCCCCCTCCCATTTTTTCCTCAGGAGGTTCTCACAGAAATCAGGGAACTACTATAACTTCATGGCTCTCCAGATGTTCCATAAATTATTGTAATGCAGTTTTTGCCAAACTGTCATGAGAGGAGAAGATGCTGAAATCTAGACTCTCACCGGCACACACTTCTCTCTGGATTATATCTGCTGTTATTCCCAATATAGAGCTTTATTCCATAGTTCAGAAACAACAACCATATCAACAGGAAGCAAAGAGCACTCCATTCCCTCCTGTAGTCTCTAAACTGAAAACCTGAAAGAACAGAAACTATAAAAGAAAAAAGAAAAAAAACCATCACCAGCTTAAAATACTGTATCTAAAAAGATATCCCTAACCTGAGAATGAAATATTTGAAATTTCTCCAATTTCTCCTTTTCTCAGTTGTTCAGTTCCTAAATGGTCACTAAAGTAGAGAGATAATAAGAATATTCCCAATAGATACTCAAATTTCATGTCTAGAAATGTAACAGCAAAACATCTTCAGCTCTGGTTGGGAATGGTAAAACTCCTTATGACAATTCTCTAGGTTATCCATACTGCATTATCTATGTATCAAAGTAACATACCCTAATACCTTAGAGAGGATTAGATTGACTCAAATATTATTCCGATGTTTCTCCCACCTAGAATGTGTTCAAAGCAGTATAATGAAATAATGTAAACATCTGCTTGGAGAGGTAGAAGGCATGTATTTCCTTAAAAGGTCTTAGGAAGAGGAAGAAAATGCCTCATCCATAATAACTGTGTCCCATATTCTTATGTAGAATCTTTATCTGGTTTGTGGGTCCTTATCGGTTGAATAACCTATTCTTGAGATAAGTTAGAAGCCAGAATACCAATTAAGTTAGGTATCTTAGAGGTAACTTTCTTTTGGGAATTATAGATATGGACCAGAGTGAACTGACTCTCTTGTTCAGGCCAGAACCTTCATTCAGTTTTCTATTTCTCTAGAAAAATACCATCTTGGAAAGTATCCCATCCAATAGTACTTAAAATTTGTGGATCAGTTATTATAGTTCCAGCCAAAATGGCAGGAAGAGAATTTCAGGTTTATTCTAAGGATTCGGGGATTGATGCCTAATTCTTGCGAGAATTTTTTTTAAAAAAATGATCTAATGCCTTAAGTTCCAGATGTCCTACCTGGGCATTTCAGGGTGGCAAGGGAAAAATCTTGTTTTCAGTTTTATGTGTAACGAACTATCAATCCTTTGTTTCTTCAACTATGAGATTTTACTTATGATTACTAGTCCTGAAAATTTAATTTACAGATAAACCCTTGCTTCATTTTTCTTAGCCAACAGTATGACTGTAATGATGGCGTTTGCTTTTTTCTAGAGCTGGAGAACAAAATCATATTTTGATATGACAATGTACTGAACCTAGACATTGATAGCTTTCATAACAAATGCAAATGTACATATGCCTCTAAGAACAAATTCATTCATATGTGTGTATATATATACACACACACACACACACATACACATATATACATACACTGTATATATATATACACACACACGTTAATTAGGCTCAGTTAAAAATATATGTAAAACTGAGCTAATTTCATCTCAACAAGCAAATTTTTGCATACTTTTAAGGGGAGATAAACTTTGATGGACATATTCCATCAGTCTACCTGAATTATTTCCATACACAAGAAATGACCAAATAACCCTACAGGTTTTGTAAACAAAACAATTATACATTTGTATGTACAGGTTTCCAGGTAAAAGTCATTTGATTCTAAGAGATATTTCAATTTGGAAATAAATTCAATTTGTTTCAACCCCATACTTGCATAAATTTGATGTTGGGGAGAATGGAACTACATATCATCATTTTTACACAATTTGTGCTAATTTTATCAAAAAGATCTCTGAATTATAGCAATGTAGCACTTCAACACTGTATGTTTAAGGCTTTTCACTACGATTATTGGTATTATCTTGCCATTAATCTTTCATCTGTATGATTGAAGCAAATGATTAGGAGTAAATTTAAAGCCATGGAATGTGAAATTATTATTTTGCATTTTTCTTGATAAAAAGCAGCAATAAGTATTAATTTTACTTGATTTACCTGACATAAATTATTGTTTTTGAAGATTTACATTTAGACATATCAATTACTGGATGAACATTAATGTAGAACACCCCCATTACAATACATGCATTACATGGAGGTAAATCTGATTCCAGGTGAATTGTTTTTTTTTCTAAACTCAAAACTGTAGTGAAATTCATTAATTGGTTCAGTTTAACATAATTACATGAAACTGCAACAAAACTGGACAGACTGCTAATATTATAACAATAAAATAACTTAAGGTTACTCCCAAAGCTACTGAAGATTCTCTGAGAGCAGAAATTGTCCAAGTAGTGTTCACAAAAATTAAGAAATATATCAAGGAAATCCCCTAATTAATCCCCTGATGTCATGGTTATAGCATGCTCCATTGGGATACAGCTTAAGATACCATGTCTCTCAAATCCAGGGTAAACAAGCAAGGCATCAACTCTGTCCAAAACGGAAGTCAAAAGTCAACCATGTAAACCAGGTCCCGTGTAATTTGTCCTCTATTTTTGTGACATTGCATTTAAAAATAAGTGAAATGAAAACCTGTATAAGTGTCTGGTGCTTCATTCTTCTTGCATATCTTGTTACTTTCGTTGTTTTTTAACAATTCCCCTCAGGGCTCAGATGGCTTTGGGAGCAAGTTCCATCGAAGCAAAATTCTACAACTGAGCATCCAATTTCATGTACCAGAATTCCTGGAACAATTCAGAAGATGATACTTCTCTGTTGCCCATTCAATTAGGTGTTATTGAATGCTACTAGTAACTTCACATTTATCACATCATGGAAAACAAGAGGTCAGGATTCAGTTGATGGGCTATCTGTTTGTTGATTTGCCAGTGAGACTAAAATAGCTTCTGCTTCTTCATGCATCTAGAAGAAAATAGCATGTGCAGAGTTTTCAAAGCAACTTATATGGAGCACCAATTCAGTGCCCACTTTTCCCAGAGTTCATTAGATTTTATTCTACTCACCTGTAAAAACTGTACATCTTGAAAGAGTTCTTGAATGAACCGTCTAGATGGTAATCGAAAAGTGCAGTGAGCTAGCAAGTAGGATACTTCAGAGTAAAGGCATATATCATCAAATGCTTGGGGAAACTTCTCTTTAATTCTGGACCATAAAGAACAAGGAAGCATATTTTTAAAATGTTCCATTGAAGTAGTATGAAGTTTTAGAATATAACTTGAGACATGGATCTGATATTCAGGCAAATCATGAGAAATAAGCATTTGGAATAAAATACGAAAAAATACACAAGACAAATAAGTTAGGTGCCTTAACAAAGCTTAAGGAACCTAATCTAAAATCTAAATACAGATAGTCCTCGATTTACGACCACAATTGAGCCCCAAATTGCTAAGTGAGACATTTGTTAATGAGTTGTATGACTCTCTTAACCCTCTTAAAAGTCCAATTTATGACCTTTTGCCACAGCTGTTAAGTAAATCACTGCAGTTATTAAGTGACTAACATAATTGCTAAGTGAATCGGAGTTCCCCATTGATTTTGCTTCCCAGAAGGTTGCAAAAAGTGATTACATGATCCCGGGACAATTGCAACCATCATAAATATGAGTCAGCTGCCAAGCTTTTAATTTTGATCATGTGACCATGGGGATGCTGCAATGGTCCTTCATTGGAAAAGCAGTCACCAGTCATTTTTTTCAGTGTTGTTGTAACTTCAAATGATCACTAAATGAACTGTTGTAAGTTGAGGATTACCTGTATAGGGTGTTCTCGATATACTGATGGTTCAAATTAATGACAGCCTTAGAAAGGATGCATTATGATCTGTAAAATACTTCCAATTATTGCTACCCTCTCTGTCCTCCACAGTCATGATCACAATCTGGTGCTTGGTAACCTGTTTTCACTTAGACTAGTTGCCAAGACCCTCATGTTCATGTGATTTCTATTTGCAATCTTCTTTGCTAGCCTCCCCAGAAAGCCAATGGAGAAGCTGGTAGGGAAAGGTGAAAGCTGCCGTCGCCTGCTGATAGGACTGCCTCTTGTCTCTGGGGGCTGGATGAAAAAGCTGCCTGCCAAAAGATTTCAGCTCTATGCACCGAAGGGAGCTGAAAACTTTCAGCAAGCTGCAGTAATAAAGCTGAAAACTTCAGAAGTATACTGCCATTCTTGCAGCCTGTTGAAAGATTTTAGCATCCCTCTGTGTCTAGGTTGAAATCATTTGGCAGGCTGCAAGAATGGAGATGAAAATTTCTGGTTTCTAGCCTGATGCCTTAACCACTGCACCAAACTGGGTCACAGAGTGATAGTGCTGCATCAAAATCTGGCATGAACTTCATAAGCAGATAATATGTATCTCAAGTAGATGAAAACAAAACTGGAATTTAGCAGGTTCGTGTTTTTCAAGACTTTATATGATGAAACTTTAACACAGATTTCAACTACTGTAGTTTGACTGAGAAATTAATGTCATTATTAATACCTACTTATTCTGAAATAAGTTTTACTGGATCAGCAATAAGTTTTACTGGAAATGATGTAGAAAAAATGAAGAAATAATGTTCCATCACTTCATCAATTTCCCCAAAAAGAAATCTCTCCCAGTTGCCAACTCATCCAAATTTGACTATGACTTTGGACTAGCAAGTGAAAAAAAGTAGAAAAATGGGTATAATCCTCAGCAATTCTTTGGAGTCAACTTAGTCCTTTCATTTCTAACATATTATTGTGAGTTCTATTTTGAGATACAACTTAAGAAGTGCCAGATGTACACCTGAACTGATTTGTGCGCAATATAAGAACAATTCCATTCCCAATTCAAAGATAAAATGAATATTACTTGTAAAAGCTAAAAACAATGGGAAAAGTTTCACTTACGTCAAGAGACCGGTTTCATGACCTTTAGTTCCTACTGAGCTACTCAAGTTGATTACTAATCGCAAAACTTCCTTTCTCAGTAGTATGCGGCATACTGGAGTATCATCTGGGATTGATTTCATGCCTTGAGAAAAAGAAATTTAACAGTATGTTAAACTGAAATATCACTGGATAACATTGGCAAAGTCTGCTATATATTTTAAAGATGCAGGCCAATGGGCATAAAAGCAATTGTCAAGTACAAATGTTACTTCTTCTGGTTCAAGTGGACATACTTACTCATAAAGGGACCATGGAAAAACAAGTAGTAGAATGATCTAAATCCCAATCAAAAGCCCAAACCATATATAGCTCTTCCCAAACGGGAATGAACTATTCTGGAGGTGGCTATTGGATTAGTAAAAGACCTCACCTTTCCCATGTGCTTCATGTTCCCCTCCTCACCATCTTTTAATGATATTTATTATTGTTATTTGTTATTTTATTATTTTAATGTATACTAGTTTTAATGTTTATAAGCTGCCCAGAGTCGCCTCTGTCAAGATCGGTGGCACGTAATTTTAATAAATCAATAAATAAATATTGGGGAAAGATAAAAGCAGAAATTTGTGCAAAAAGTGGGAAAATTAGTAATGCCTGGATGGTCTCAGACAGTACATACATCATACTGATTATTCCTGTGTTAAGAAGCAGGGTGCAAAGCTAAGATTGCTGATGAAAGCATCCAACATCCAAGCAACAAGAAGCATCAGAAGCAACCTTTATGAAAAATAACTCACCTATGATGAGATCAGTACTCTTGGTACTACTAGCTGATCCATGGGATACAGCATCACTACATCCTGAAATTCCAGAAAACTTTGAGGAATGTGAAACCACATCCAAATGATTATGCATAGCCTTTCCACACCAGTCTGAATAAGGAATGTCTGAAAATTCTGATAAAGTTTGATATAAGATAGATGGAATAATTTACATAGAAAAAAACCAGCACGACATACATAATTTACATAAAAAGAAAAAAAAAGCCCAGTATGATACAGAACTGAATAACTTAGAAACAATCCAACCAAATATGAGCTTCCTATTCTGATAACAATGCACTAATAAAGGAAAAGTATTGTGATGATGAATTTATGAGGCAGGCACTACGAACCTCAAAAGAACAATAGCAGTGGGAAAGGTAGTTTCCACAAGATTTGCCATCCTGAGAAGTTAAACATTCAACCAAGAGTTCTAGCTTTCAAGATTATGAAATAAATTTTGGATTTCTGTCTGAAATAGCATCAGAAAACGGAAACAGAATGGACAAAGCTTCCAGCCTTCTAATTATTGCAGATCAGATTCAAGTTGTCTGCCTGATGCAGACCTGGTGGCACTAACCTGTGTGACTATATGCAGAGTTCAGTTTGTTATTATGCTGACAATCTAGGATGTATGTACAAACACAATAGAGACAATTATCTTCAGTGTGTTCTTGGAGTCCAGTGTCTTCCATGTTTTCTAGGAACTGGGAGGCATCTGAACGGCTTGTGTTCATAATCTCCGTAAGACTTATTTGCTGACGAAGCATCTGGAAGGGACTCTTTACAAACTCAGCAGACTCACAAGGCAAACCTGGAAGCATTTGGTTAAGCAACAGAAAATAGAACATAATGAAACAATACAATAGCATCGTCTGCAATTAATTGCCCAGCATTGCTTCAAAATGATATAGGTGGCAAATAAATTTAATAAATAAATAAAATAATTCCTATAATGCTTTTACGGCATATAAAATAATAAGCCCACATCTGAATAAATTTCAGTTGTTAAGGGAACTTTGCTGTAGCCACATAAAGTAAGCACACTGTAATAAACGTGTTTCCCTACGTCATGCCCATCACTACAAAAATGTTGTCAATATTTCATTTATCAAGTGATTCCAGAGAACATTTTAGGCAATCCAGTCCTCTATTGGGGCATATTCTGCTAATATAGGAATGGGCAAATTATTTTCCCAAGGGGCCACATGAGAATTGGACTGTTGTGGTGGGCCCCACTACCCCCGTGGCCCCTGCTGCCTGCCACTAATGCTGCACCACTGCTGCTACCCGACTGCAACTGTGGGTCAGATTAGGATCACCTGAGGGCCAGATGAAATGCCCAGGTCTGTGGCTAGTATAACATAATCCTGACTTTATGAGATATGCAAAATTAAGACACTGTGAAGTAATGTCCTACCGTTGATTACCTCCCTATGTCTCATTTTTTATCTGTATGAAGGTAATTCCCTTTGAATATAAGCCACAATGTGCTTTGAATACACTCTCAGAAGAATCCCAAAATCTGTGGTATGAAGCATGACTGTCGTATTTCAAATCACAGGGCTTAGAAATCAGCAGTCGGGTATAAACATTTTCTTCCTAAAGGAGGAGGTGTACAGCTTAGCAAAAGTGGCAGGCGACCATGTAATCCAGGGGTAGTCAACCTTGGCTCTTTTATGACTCGTGGACTTCAACTCCCAGAATTCCTGAGCCAGCTGTGCTGGCTCAGGAATTCTGGGAGTTGAAGTCCACGAGTCATAAAAGAGCCAAGGTTGACTACCCCTGATGTAATCCAAAAGAAAGCGTACCTGCAGCATCCTGGGCAAAGACCCGAGTGCCCCGATCATCAAATGAAATTATTGTTTTCTTCTGGAAATATGGGGTTTCTTTTACCTGAAATATTTTAAGGCAAAAAATTATGCAGATCAAGTTTTAAAAACAGCCATTATTTCTGGAAATACTGGGTAGCTCCAGTGTGAAGTATTTAACCAGGGGTCTTCGTATGACTTGTGGACTTCAACTCCCAGAATTCCTCAGCCAGGCACGCTGGCTGAGGAATTCTGGGAGTTGAAGTCCACAAGTCATAAAAGGGCCAAGGTTGAAGAATCCTGTATTTAACATTCAACAATATTCCTCTAAGTGTAGTAAACTGCACTAGGTTCTCTACATATTGCTAGGGGTAAAATTGTTTCATGCAGAATAGCAACACGGTACTTAATATGACTAATTCACTCACTTAAGATAAAAATATTGTCCACATACCTGAAATATTTCATTGATGTCAACCGGGAGAGCAAGTCCAATGTAATCGTCTGAGCTACCATAGGTAGCATTAGACACCATGGAACGAACAGAAGAAGAACGCTGCAATGTATTTTGGTTTATAGGGCTTAATAAATCTTCTTTATCTAAGGATGATGCATAGCTCAAAGCTCTCATGAATCTGTTAACAAACAGAAGGAGCATATTTAGCATAACAGCCCTGATTTTATTATGAGTACTATATTTTAAAATACCATGGATAATTTTAGTTCAAGTACCAGTTTGGTTTAGTGGTTAAGGCATCAGGCTAGAAACAAAAGACCGTGAGTTGTAATCCTGCCTTAGGTATAAAACCAGCTGGGTGACCCTGTCATTCTCTCCCAACCCTAGGAAGAAGAAAATAGCAAGCCACTTCCGAAAATCTTGCCAAGATAACTGCAGGGACTAGTCCAGGCAGTCACCAGGATTTGAAGGATCACCTCAAAAGTACAAAATCAATATGCTGCTTAATATTTATCTGGTCCTGATTAAATAAAATAGAATTTCTGATGCTTCCTGAATCTAAATGGTACCAAGCTGTCTACTAGAAGGTGGAACCGTTAGGGGTATCCAAAAGGAGGGAGAGGGTTCAAATAAAAAAAGATGGATGGTAATAGTAGCACAAACTAAGCCACACTCCTTTTGTATGTGAACTGATACCATACATATGAGCGGAGGAAGAACCTTTAATAGCATTGCTGCAACGGTCTTGTTCTCGTTCTCTCTCTCTCTCTCTCTCTCTCTCTCTCTCTCACACACACACACACACACACACACACACAAATTGTTACTGTAAACATAGCAAGGAATATTTCTGCCATGGCAACACTCCCCTGTAGCCAGTATGGATCATCTCCAAATTTCCTAATTCATTCTTCATTCATTTGGAATCATGGGCTACTAACACCTCTAAAAAAACAAGATAATCAGAGAATAGCTAAATGTAACGTTATATGAAAATTATTAATTTACTTAAATATGAATGAGCAAGGCCATTCAGATTAGAGCAATTTCAGATCCTTTTTAACAATAAAACTGATTTCTCCAGAAATGTTCAGGAAATAGATACCAACAGTACCTATTGGTTTAATTGTAGGCAAGAAAAGCAGCATACACATACATGAGATTTACTACTACCAAATATAGAAACCAAGCCCTAGATGTTTAAATCTAGCCTTTTTACCTTTTTAAAGCCAATGGACTTTTGACTGTTTTTTCCCAGCTTTAAAACTGGAATCCACCTGTCCATGATTACACAGTTCTATCTGGTGTAGGCAGTGCTAATTCTCCCTTTACTTCTTGACCCCTTATAGCTGTTTTAGCAGAGGTAAAAAGTAAGATAAAAGTCTTCTTGAAAAACAATGTCCCTTAAAATGCACCGGGACAATAAAGAGGTGTTTCTTTAAAAAATAATTTCTCTCCCATGATAACTCAATTTTAATGAAGAAAAGCAGATGACATACTCACCGGTTGGGTGTTAGTCGAGAGTCTAGACTGCCAGATTTCATTGTGATTGTGTCTGTGAAGAGAACATCCTTTGCTGGAGAAGCTAGGGCTTCAGAATGTGACAGAGAGGGATGCATCCTCTGTTGTTGTAAGCGTTTCAGTGTTGCATATCCAAATGCATCTCGAGAACTGGTGTAACTAAAATTATAATCAGCCAGGCTTTTTATAGTCGCGAGGGAAGGAGCTTTTAGTGACTGTGCTCTCCGAGGAAGCGTGTGCGAAGACCCCGGCGGTACCAGGGAGACAGAATTTGACTTTGACAGAGGGAGGTGGTTAGACTGTGGGGTTGAACACTGAATTGTTTTAATGGTCTTGGTACTCACCACAGTACTTAAGCTCCCACAGTCAGTGTCTATATTGGTGGAATCCACTCCCATAGTCTCCCGGGAAGGGCTCGAGCTCATTGAACTTATGCCACTTGTGGTCGTGTCTGTATTGAAACTCAAACTACGACTTTTGAAATGAGTCTGCGTGGAAACTTCTATTAGTCTCTCTCGGCTGGAGTTCTCCCTATGATTTTCATGGCCAAGACTTTTGGGAAGCTTAAGGTCATTTTCACCAAGACTTGGAGTACTATCTGCATCTTCGTTATGCTTGTTCCCAACAAACGAAGTTTCTCGTTTCAGAGTGTGAATCTTAGGAACCTTGAACACTGGGGTAAAGTCATCTCCCCGTGTAAAATCCATGCTGCTGCAAGGTTCTGTTACTGTCCGGTTTCGCCTTAAGCCCATCTTGTTCTCCAAGGAAGACAGCTTGCCTCCTTTGGGATCACTGCTGCTCCTCAGCTTTTTATTGGGCAGGGTAAGAGAATTCAAAATGCGATTCCTGACAAGTCTGCGGGAGGAGAAAAAGGGGAAGGGATTGCGGTCCTTATCCTTCACAGGCCCAGTATGGTCATAGAGATTCTGTTCTGCATCTTCAGAGATATTTAAGAAAAATGTACTAGTGGTGGTGCTCCCAATCCGGTCATCTTCCAGGATAAACATGCCTGAAATGAAAACAAATGTTCTTTTTTTTTTGATCCACAAAGGTTTGGGTAATTAAGGCTAGTTCGGCAAAGAAGCTGAACATTATATGAAAGCAACAAGTATAGGGTGACTTCTTACATATTCTAAAAGTCAAAAGAGTGTAAGAATCTACCGGAACTGAAAGGAAATCTTTACCAATATTATTTTACAATTAGGCATACAGCCTCCAATTTAGCGATAAAATACCTAGATCTCATCTCAGCATGTTAATCATGACAACTATTTATGCAATTGCTTCACTAGTTTAAATTTTTACATGTGTTTTTATTTAAACATGCATTTGAGATTTAAATTTTCATGTACTTCACATGCATCTGAGATTTAAATTTTCATGTACTTCTGACATTGATCATACAATTAAGAAATAAAAAAATGTTTTTTTTCCAAACATCAATTATGCTTGGAGTGAATCCCAGCATAGATTAAAAGTCTCATTGGCTCCTGTATTATGGTCCCAATCTGGACCTGCCACACACTTGCAATTTACTTCTTAAAAAGCAAGCAACTGCTAGTTATATGAATGGTTTCTGAACTAATATTGATCTCAAGATCTTGAAAAACTAAATCATCCTTTCCAAAAATGAGTTCACTTAGTGGTATATACTTTCTGGCTAAGAAACCACGGATAACTACTATCAAAACAAGCAAACAAAATTCACCAACAAATACATCTCACAAAAATGAAGTTTGCCCACCTCTTTGCTAATTAATGACTGGATTAATACATTATTAACCTTAACTTATTAACATTAATTAAATTATTGAAATTAACATTATTTACCTTAATATAATTTGGAATTATGTTCCTTGTCCACAATAAACAAAAATTATTAATTAAGTTGAAAGCAGTTTGTTGTTGGCTTACCATGTGATTGTAAGCTACATCTGCTCAACAGGAGGAAAGCAAAAAAAAGCACAAAAACTTACGAGGTAGCATGACCTAATCTATAGTGCACATTATGAAGTACATGCAAAGAAAAAGCTGACCCTCGTAGTCTACATGTTTTTCAAAAAAAAAAAAAAAAAGGAAGACATTTGTTAGCTACTAGTGCTGTCAAATAGCTTACTTGATGGTGCAGATTCACTTTCACTGTTATGTCTTGAACTGGTAGATTCAGAATTCAAGCTAAGTGTGCTGGGAATAGAAGAGAGTTCATTGCAGAGTTGCTCCACATCGTCGGGGACAACTGGCCAAGGTTGCCTTCGACTGTGTCTTACTGCATCCCAATTGTGATGCTTCAGAATATCACAGCCTTGCTTCGTTTTGGCTATTAGGCCAAGCACATAGACACAAGTCCTGCATTTAGAAAATAAAAGTCAAATGAAAATCTATTAAACTAAGTGGGAATGCAATGTAGTTAACTATAGAAAAAATGCTTTTTCTGTTCCTTTTGGCTTTGCTGTCCTAGGTCTGCCTAGGGATCTTGAAAATAATCAACACGACCCCACGGAAGACAGTCCAAACATTACAACAGTACTCAAGTTTTTAATGCAACAAAAATACAGAACTACTAAATATATGGGGAATAATATCAACAGTTTTAATTAATACATTTCCTTTTTTTTCCTTGCCAAATTACACCTGAATGAATGACAATTTTTAACTATTTACTGTTAAATAGTTAAACTATTTACTGTTTTATTGCTTGGTTTCTAGGCTTCAGTTATATATCTCTTATATTATTATGGAGATTGTAGATAGAATAGATGGTAAACAAGAAACAGTAACACACCAAGATAGATCAGGAAGATTTAAAGCGCATAGGGATTACCACAAGAGGTTTACAAAATATTTCATTTTAAAAAGATTCAAGGGCCAAACTTTACACAATGCTCTAAGCATGAAATGGTTTGCTTTAAGTTTCTGGACACATTTAAAACTTGAAACAGAGCAACTTGCTTAAGCTCCTACACCTTCCAAATTGCTTAAAGCAACTTAACGCTTTTATGACTTTGGACTTCAACTCCCAGAATTCCTCAGCCAGGCACTCATCAGCAGTTGGAGGGGGAAAAATGGCTGGAGTAGCAGAGCACAGAGTGGATGGAGCTGTGGAGTTAAGGGTAATGAGAGTGGCTGCAACTGGGATAGCTGCTCTTTGCTACGGTAAGAGCCAGGCCTACCTCATCAACAGCAGGGCGAAGAACAGAGAAAAAAAATGGCATTGATTGTGCAATTGGTGCATTCATCCTAGTCCTGTCTAACCATTCAGTGGCTTTCAATATCATCAATCATGGAATCCTTCTGAGTGGCTCTAGGAATTGAGGGTGGATGACACTGTATTGTGCTGTTTCTCCTTTTTTCCAGGGTCAGTAACAGTTGTTGGTGCCTGTGAGGGAAGAGGCCCTGCCCATAGCCCCTACTGTGCGTTGACCCCCAGTGCACAATTGCAACTGAGAAAGCTGTGATTGCAGTCTTTGAGCAAAGTGGTCATATGGGCATCTTACTGAACAGCAGCCTTACTCAACAATCAAGATTCCGGTTCCAATTGTGGTAGTAAGTCAAGAACTACCTGTATATTCCTGTCTGTTAAAGAGTTAAATCTGATGGGACCAGGAGACAAGCCTCTTCTGCCATGCCATCCTGTTGAACATTATCTCCCCTAAGGTGAGGTGTTTGCGAACATGAGAATAAGCATGCTAGTTAGTTAGTTAGTTAGCTTGGAAATGTTGCAAACAAATTATGCCAAACCAACTGTATCTCCTTCTTTGACAGAGTTACTAACTTCCTAGATTAATGGAATGTTGTAAATATAATATATCTAGACTTTAATAAAGTCTTCAACAAAATGCTTCATGATATTCTCCTTAATTAAAAAAAAAAAGCTAAAGCAGGGGTCGGTCACCAACCCCTGGTCTGTGGACCAGCATTGGTCTGCAGCATGCCAGAAATTTGGTCGCACATACAAGCAAAGCCCCATTCATGGGATGCAAGTAGCATGCAAAACAATGCCCCCTCTGGTCCGCAGGAAAACCTCTCTCCATGGAACTGGTCCCTGGTGCCCAAAAGGTTGAGAGCTGCTGGGCTAGAGGATACTATTGTTAGATGGACTCTCAACTGACTGAATGAACTCAAACACCACTCTTTAATAATTTTACTTCAGCTGGAAGAGGGAGCTAAATACTTCAAGATGAAAGAAAGACATTTCAAAAAGGGCTAGCTGCTAGGCAATTTGAGAAATGGGCTGAAATAATTAAGATGGAATTGAATGAAGAGGACTCTAAAGTTTTGCATGAAGAAGGGGGGAAAAATGTAAGGCACAAGATAGGAGGTGGGGGGAATGGCAGAATGGTGGTAGTACATGCAAAAGCTACCAGCCAGCACTATGCAGTTGCAAAAAAGTCAAATTATGTCCTAGGGTGTATTTAACAGAAACACAGAGTCCAGATGGCAGAAAGCAATTGTTCTGTTCTATTTTACCTCAATTAAATCTCATGTGAAATACTCTATCCAGTTCTGAACACTATCTTTCAAAAAGGATAGTGACAAATTGGAGCAAGATCAAAGAAATGCCACCAAAATAGTAAAAGGTCTAGAAACCACCCTGTGAGGAATAGTTAAAGGAAATGGTTATATTTAGCCTACTAAGCTCTTCCAAGGGAAGATATTAATCTCAAAATTGTCACACAGGAGAGGGAGTGGACTTATTCTCTATAGCTTCAGAGGGGAGGACCAGAATCCTGCAGATTAAATCTGCAAGGAAGCAAGTCCATGCTAGACATAAAAATAAAATAAAATCCTGACTATACAAATTGTCAGCTGTGGAACAAAAAGTAGCTAGTTCTCCATGGTGATGTTCTCAAGCCATAATAACATTTTAATTGAAATGTGAACAATTCTTTGCTAGAGGCCTTCCAACAGGCTGAATGGTCGTATATCTGAGATGCTCTACTAGATCTTGCATTGAGAGAAGGTTGACCTCTGAGGTCTTATTCAGCTTTATGTCATAAAAATCTAAATATATTGATGTCAGACAAAATAAACTGTTCACAGATGTTTTACAATGCATTTCCAGTTTTCAATTTCTACTTACCCTCTAATGCATAGGACCTCACAATGCTGGGCAAGTGCCATTATATCAGGTATCACATTTTCCTCCTGAAGCAAATTCAATCCCCAGTTTGAAGATCCAATATTTCCCTTAAATATAAATAAATGTCAATAATTAGAAAATCAAGGAATGTTTGAGAAAAGATAGTGATTTATAATCTTAAAGCAGATTTTGCATTAACTGCTACACTGGTTTCTACTTACACAAGTATCCACTTGAGCAACCAAAGGATATTCTTTTAAAAATATTGGCATCACTCTATTATAGTCTAATTTTCAACTTCACAAGGAATATGCTTTTTAAAATCTACTTCATTTTATTACTCTCACCAATAGAAAATTATGGTTAATATGATTAATATTACAGACTTGAAAATTCCCTTCTTCTACTAAAGGAGTCTCCCTTTATAGGAGTATTGGGAACCATTGGATTCAACCCATGTACAAAACCCAACATTTAATTTTGACATCAACAGTTTCTTTCTTGGATTAACCCAAAGTCAAGTGCATAAAACCATAAATTTGATAACTAACAGTGTGATATCTATGACTTATTAACCAAGAAAAAAATTGTATTTCTCATGATGACACAAAATAATCTTGGCAGCCAACTGCAGCATGTTTTTCTTTTATTTTCAGGAGATGTTTGCAATGCTATTCTAATGTTTTCTTTGTGATTCTGGTAAGTTAAACCAGAAAGTTTGGTTTGAAAGCTGAAGAAACCTTTTATTTTTCTCACTGGAAACAAGCAGGACACAGGGTTACTAATGTTAAATGGCTTGGGCCAAATTTTGACAATCTTTATTTATTGGTTTAATAGACACAGATCAATGTAATCTCTGAGCTTGTGTAGTGAAAAAAGGAGAAACCATAAAGGCTGCAGTTATCATTGCCAGACATAATTTAAAATTAATTCTTCTCCCAAATTATTTGCTTTTATTTTTTATAATTTGCATGCTTTCCTTCAAAACCTCTAACAGCCAGCCCGTGGGCCGGATGCATCATAGCAAAACTGCGCCCACCCCATTGCTGGCAATGGGGAAAAAGTCACAATAAGTCACATGTCATGTGATGTTGCGAGTTTGACATCCCTGTCTTAGAGGAACATAAAAAGCAGTCTTCTTAATGACTGTTTTAAAGTCCTAAATCCTTCCCGTTCATCTTCCAAACTAGAAATATAACACAGTTCTGCTGACAACTACATTTTCATTCAGAAAATATTTGCCTTGTTATAAGTTTACTTGTCTGTCTAAATACAAATACATTATTTATATATTCCATTCATAATTTATTTTAATTATTTAACATTTTATTATCAGCTGCTTTAAGCATCATTTGTAGTTAAAAAAAACACAGAATACAAACAAAGCCTAAGATATTATTTTACTTCTCTATAGCAATCTACAAACATTTCGGAATAGAAACAAACTCGTGACCACCAACTAATACTTAGTTATAGAAATATATATATTAAAATATGTAAATATTTTTAACTAACCAGTGCCCATAGAGCAGCTTTTAGTTGCTTAATCCCCTCCCACTTTTCCAGCATAGGGGAACGGACAGTGTAACTCATGTCAGGAACGATACTCTAAATAGCAAAAAGAACAACCACAGTGCAATTTATTTATCAAGCGTTCCATTCTGTTTTCATGACAGCAGCACTAATAATAAAATACAAGTATTTATGCTTTTAATCACATTTCCACATCTTGTAGAGGCAAAACAATGTCACTGCAATTGAGGCCATCTATTTCTGTAGACTAAAGAAATGGAGATTAAAATATAAAGTGTGAAGGAGCAATAAGCTGAAGTATTTTTTTTTAGCCTTATAAATCAATTTTATACAATCCTCAGAAGTTATTCCCATTAGTTAAAAGGAGAGAGTGCGTGCATGGATTCTGGCAATTGTTTAACTTTATATGTGATTTCACAATTCCTGACTTGCTTATGGGGCCAATCTAGGTAAGCCAAGTCAAAGTGCCTTGTAGTGTGGATTCTGCTACATGCCTCCGAATCAGTAATAAGCAATTAAATGCTAAAGATAGTGAAAAGAGTATAGCATTTTATCTTTAATAATTTATTTGAATCAATTACATTACATTTCCTCACCTGAGCTTCCAACAAATGACAGCCTGTTTTGTGGTGTACTAGTTGGCCATAGAGGTGAACTGGCAAGTAGACATGTGGCCGCTGTAATCTGTGGAGAAGAAAAACAGTCTGTTTGCACTGAGTTAATTCTAACCATTTTAAAACCATCTGCATACCTTTAGGCATTGCTTTAACAAATGAGTCAAGGTGGTTTTACCTTTGGTTGCTCCGACGAACATAATTATCACCATCAACAGGTTTGCGGTACGTAGTAAGTGCTTCATTTAATTGTTCTTCTATCAAGTCGACATATTTTAAATTGTATTCCTAGGATACAATGGAATGCAGAGATCTTCAGAAAAAACATTTTCTCTAGCAATAGTTACATTTATAAATACACTACATGATGAACTAGGTAAAAAGTGTTCCTTAATACCAGTATGATAAAATACTCACTGGAAGTTGATTTTATAATCAAAATGCTTCAAAAATATGTCTCTATGAGAGACAACAAGATTGAGCAAGATCAATACAGTGCAATTCCCATTGGTTCAGGTTCACAATTTTACAAAGTAAGCCTGACTATCCTATACAATCCTCCTATTTGGTTATAAATTTATTTTTCTATAACAAATTGGAATAGTTGGCATCAATGATAATGCCTCCCCGTTCATTCATTACACCAAGATGTTCATTGTGCAAAGTAGTCAAAGGATAAGCTCTCTTATTATTAAACTTTCCATAGGGCAATACTTCTAAAGGTTATGTGGAAATGTTAGTTTAGTTTCAGCAAGCACCTACTGAAAGGGGCAGTTTTGGGTAGGACTAGTTTAATGTGGAGAATGTGGGTCAATACATCACTTTTTAAAATTGCCTTGTCTTTAAATCCCTAACTTTCTTTCTTCCATCCAAACAATATTACATATAATCTACCTCCAAACAATTTTAATACTATATTAATTTTCAACATGGGCTGGCAAATAATTCTGGTTTTTAAGAAATAATGATCTAAGTAGATTATATCCTAAGAATGGTACTCCAAAAATTTAAAAAATATTTTTTTTATAAAAATTAAATACTAAGTATAATTAAAGCTATTTTTAAGAGTCTGCAAAATTTTCATATACGCACTATATACCTCTTAACTGAGCTCCAAGAAATGGCTCTTTAAAATTTTAATTTAAATATTGTTAATCCTACTGAACTATTAGTTTATTTAAACTAATTACCTAAGGCAGACATTTAAATATAATTTTTCCAAACACCAGCACTTCTAACCACAACAAGTCACATGGAAGGAGCTGACTAGATACAGGTAGTGGTCCATGTTTAACAGAACTAGGGCCAGAATTTCCAACCTTAAATGACATGGTCTTTAGCTATGTATCAAGTTACCACACTTTTTAGTGACAGAATATTCAATAGTCCTAGACTAGACTAGAACTGCACTGTTGTTAGCCAAGGATCTTATGTTTTTCCTGCCCTGCCCTGCTCAATTGTGTTTAAACTCCCCCCCCCCACTCCCCGAATCTCTCTCCATCTCTGCTATTTTGGCCACCCTGCTGTTTTCTTCCTCATACTGTCATCATAACTTCAAACAATCTTTGAATGAATGGTTGTTAAGCGGGCACTACATGTATTTTAAAATTATTCTGAAATCAATGTATTGATAGTGTTTCTTGTGAGCACTTGTGTCCCTAATATTTGCTGGTAACAAAGTAGGCTCAGGTAAAGCCACAGTATAAGACCTGACGCACATATAACACAGTTCCAAGGAATGATTCCAATTTGATAATTAAATACCTTCTGCCATTTCTCCATTTGTTTTGTTACATAGCCTCGTTCATTTAAATAGGAAAACCCTTTGGGGATTGACAAAAATCTGAAAAAAACAAAACAAAACAAAAAACTATTGTTTATAAAATATTTACAGAGCCAATGTTTTCACCTGAATAATACAATTAATGTTTACCTTAGCAGCAGAAGCATACCCTTGTCTCCTAGATGAGAAAGTGCTGGTTTCATTTGAATGAGGGCATGAAGATTAGCCTAAACAAAGAAGATAAGAGGGACGAAGTTAATATGGCATAATAACAATATAATTATTAATATAATATCTAAGCAGGATTAATAAGGTTAAAATAAGGTTTATTTTTTCTTCAACTAAAGAATGTGGAAAAAGTCTCACCTTGTCTTCACATGCCTCATCAAGGATATCAAGTGCTTCAGAAGAAATGACTTTATTTTTGTCATGAAGCTGTGTGACAAGTAACTCAATCCCCCAATTACTGAAGAACTCCACATTGGCCCTCAGAAGTACTCGGAGGTGTTTTGTAGCATATAACCTACAATTCTACGAAAGAAAAAATGAACAGATCATTGGAAAACCAGAAAATGGTACATGATTAGAAATTGGGTTTATATATACAATATGTCATTGAACAGTTAATATCAATTTCAAATCAAAACCAAGGTTGGAGTCTACTTGATCTATAGCTTCTGCCTTCCATAACATTTTCCCCAAATATAATATATTTAATTGAAAGAAAGATTAAAAAGAAAGATTAGGTCCCCTGCTTCATTATTCTCCTTAAATGGGGAGGGGAAGAGATAACATTAGTTTCAATATAACTTCAGTAAAAGACACAAGCTTTTTCTACCAACCTTCCAGTTGTTTTTTTTGGAGGGAGGAACAGATTTAATTCAGAATCAGATTTCTTTGGGTTAAATATGACATGTATAACTGTTTGAGTGTATATATGTACAGTGGTGATTAAAAATTTGTGAATCCTTTTGAATTTTCAATATTTCTGCGTAAGTGTGACCTAATCTAACTTGGGCAGATGGGTAAACGAAAGCAGAAATGGTAATTGACATTCAAGAATTCCTTGAGGAAATGTAAAATTTGGTCACATATAATGCAACTTTATAAATTCATCTATTTTCCATGGCTCCATGTAAAGGTTTACTTTTGTTTAGCATGCTTCAATTTTATTGAAACTGAATTTAATTAAAATTGGTTATATTTATATGATTGTATAACTATGTCTGTATTATATTCCATGGCCTATACCAGCTGAGTAGCCATGAACTTGACAGATTGCTAAAAGTAAATAAATAAATAGCTTATTTTTACAAGTTTATCTATAGTATTATGATGTATTTAGCTCTTACCATCTTTCAGGACACTCCTTCATAAGGGTATGAAGGGTGAAAGAAAATGGCTGACTCAGGTCACCCAGTTAGTTTCAAGTTTATGTCTGAGAAAGGATTCAAACATAATTCATCATTTCAGCTTCTATACCATACCATGAAAACATGAATAAGATAATCTGCCTTTCACTTACATCGGTTGATGCCGTTAGGATTTTAGAAAGAATGACTCTTGCTAAACCATCTCTGCTATAGTCTAAACTAGAAACTGTCAGTTTGAGTAAGTGATCTTGATTCTTCAAGGAACACAGATTAAGGAGACTGGAAAGAAACAAAAAATGAATAGAATTCTAGTAAGATATGGATATATTCTTATAACTAAAACATAATCTAAAAAGATATGTGCCTAGTTAAGAAAAGCAGTGTGATATTTAAATTTCTTTTATTTTTCTGTTCTTCCATCAATGTCTCTGCCAGTGTTGAATTCTGAAGTTACTTGGGCCAAAGAATAACTTTGCCTAGGCTACTTTCCAACAAATTTTACAACAAAATTTATTTATAGTTCTATAGCTGCCCATCTCAATAAGTGACTTTGGGCAGTATACATCATAAAACATGTCAGAGTATTATTGTGGCATTTAAACAATGCACATTGATTTTTTCCAACCATTTTTCCAGGGGAAATGACAAGTGCTTAAGCTCTCATTACATTCTATAAATATGAAATGTTTACTTAGAAAACATTAAGAATATATTTATCTTCTTCAACAGTCTTTAAATTGCTGGTAATTGGCGTTCAACATTTTTACAAATAAAATCTAAAATAACATTGCTTCTCCAAAAATAAAAACTTAATGTCAACTAGTCACAGCTAACTATAGTTTACCACACATTCAATTCTACAGAAATGATGACACACATTAACTTAATTTCTATGTTTAAGTTTCAGGAACTTCAACATTTCAAAAACTATTTTTGTAACTAAATACATACCACTGAAATACATTACACTTTTCAAGCATTTTCACTCCATGAGGATGACAGGAGAGGGTACCAAAAAATAAGAAGTAGTGCTGACTAAGAGTGTTAAGTAACCCATTGTTCTGGAGACTGTGTTCTGGTTTCATTCCAGAAGAAATGTTAAGCCAGTGCACAATATCTCTTACTAACTCTTCGAGGTAGCCATGCCCATCCTGCTTTAAAAGGAAAGAACAAAAACTTTATTCAGGTTACTTTTAACAAATTTTCCTTGCTCAATTAATAAAAACCCACAATAATACATTTACAACTTTTCTTAGTATAAAGTAAACAACTGCTTAGTTTCCTAAAAATGCAAAGCAAAAGGAAAATATTATAAAAATTCTGTAACATATGATATTTTAAAACCTGTGCTTAAATCAAAGGATACATAATACAGAAAAAAATACAAACAATGTATGTGACAATGCTAGGAAGTTGTTTTTAAGAAATTTAGACTACATGTGAAATGTGGAGACAGTCAGTCTTGATAATGCCTCAAATGATTTTGACATAAATTGAAAGTTATTCCTATAGGGATTACGGCAGTAATAAATATAAACAATCCACAGGCAATCCACGTTTTTTCCAAAGCTAACAATGAAAATAGAAAAGTGCCAAGTCAAGACTAGGTTTTTTGCAAAAGTGAATTTAATCTTCTGTTGTTTTCTTCTACACATTAATACGTTTTGTAAAGAAAATCAAGCAAAAAAAAAAGGAACTGGAACAAACAATTCTGGTTACCTTTTGCACATCACAGAAAGTTAGGAACGCAAAAGGTGAACATGTAGAAACTGTAGATAATTGTTAAGTCTGTATCTACCTTTTGTTGCATCTGCCTTCCTTCCTTCTTTCCTTCCTGTCTTCCTTCCTGAGGAGCAAAAGGGTATGTTGATTGACCTATGTATCACTTCCACTCAATGTTCTGAAGCAGATCAGGCCAGTGCATCAAAAACCATGCCACCTTTTAATTTTTAATTTCTAAATACAAATTTTTAATTTCTAAATACATAATTATTTCTTAAAATGCATCTTCTGAAGTATGAAAGACATAAGTTTCTTGGCTAATGTACCAACTAAGGCAAGACTTAGGAGATATAACTACATTTTCTTTGTTTCTGAACTGATTGCATTTTCTTTTTTATGTGTTTTGATTAATAAACTTTGAAATTGATTGGTCTGCATTAATTAGTTATTTTTTAAAATTAAACTAATGTGGCTGTTCCAAAATATTGTGCTGCCTCCGGTATTTAAACAGAAGGTGTGACATTTCTACTTGACAAGCAGTCAGACTGAGTGGCACCATTTAATTACATTTATTTTATATTCCCCTGTAGTGCGAAGTTAACAAGAGGAATAATCATTTCACCAAAGGATTTTAGGCATGTCATATTCTTTTAATTTTAAATTTATTTACTGAAGCAAAACATTACCAAAATCTTTTATATTACATTTTCTACTATGACCCAGAATAAGCAATGTATTTTATGAATTCTATTTTTGACCCAAATTAAGCTGCATTTCCTACTTAATTGTAAAGATTCAGAATTAAATTCTTCCATTGAAGTATTTCCAGTTTTGTTAACCTGGTAAAAATTGTATGGTTTTGCATTTAGAATACATCAAACAGGAATCTGCCAGTCTTTAATATGGCTAAAAAGTAAATAAATTTTACCTCTTCAGATTCAAGGAGAAATTCAGTAAATTGACAACCAACAACTGTGAGCTGTTTTGACTTTGCATAATCGAGATCTAGATTGGCATACAATTTACTGCTAGGCTTGTAAAAATACATCAGCCGTCGTACAAATCTAACATTAAACAAAAGAATGAGGCAATTAAAAACATAATTAAAGGCTTCTGACAATGTATGTCTATATTTATACTTATTTATATTACAAGATAATAGTTTCATCAATCTTAGAATCAAAAGGAATTTTTTTACAAAATCAGTGACATTAATTCTAACTTGTCCCTGAGGGCTACTGTCAAAACTATACTCAATAGGCTTCTGAGAAATGATAGAAAAGTCTTTCTGTAGCTGTTTCTGTTTTGTAAGACATTTACTTCAACAAATGATTAATATGATTTCTGTCACTGGTTCTCCCTATTTAACAAATCTTCTTTCTTCATTCCAACAGGCATTTTTTTTAGACTGAGGATTTTTGTGCAGTAATCCTTTATTTTAGTTCTTCTTACCTGCAATCTACTGTTGATCTCAGTTACAAACACATTACATATATTAAATATGCATCTTAATAAATAATTAAAAATGAATCCTTCTGCCATCCCCAAGAGGAGCACATATGTTAGTGAATTTCCTTTTCAAGCAATACTTCTGAACCCATCCAAGTAGGCAAAGATCATATTTTATATTACAGAAAGGATATCAGCAACTTATTATAAAATCTGATGCACTTTATTTCTCTAACAACGTATAAGCCAGTGGTGGCGAACCTATGGCACGGGTGCCAGAGGCGGCACTCAGAGCCCTCTCTGTGGGCACTCGTACCGTCGCCCTAGTCATAGTCCTTCAGCTGGGTTTTATAAAACCTTTTTGCTTTAGGCCTCCGCCGCCGTGTAAAAAAAAAGAAGGTTCAATCAATCAGTCAATTTCAACTTCTTGCGGGGGAAAAAAAGATCTTGCAAAGTTAGAATTGATTGATTGAACTTTTTAGTCCCACCCAGTCTGCCGTTACCACCGCAGCCACGCCCACCCAGTGGGCCACGCCCACCCGGCACCCGACGATGCATAAGTGGGTTTTGGGTTGCAGTTTGGGCACTCGGTCTCTAAAAGGTTCGCCATCACTGGTATAAGCTAAAGAAGACTGCACATGTGCGTTTTCAACTCTAAATCTGTTAATGTTTAAATCCAACAAATCTTTCTCCTTTATGTTGCTTATCCACAAATGTGAACCAACCAACTTTTCAAATCCCTTTGCTAACTTCAAATTTGTAGAATCTTTTTCTTGAATAGACAGGATTCAATATGGAATTTTGAGAGGAATATATTATTTAAAAGTAGCCAGTTAGATTAACAGATTTTTTTTAATTGGTGGAGGAAAAAGGAAAAAGAATTTTTTTGTGTGCCATCTTGCACTTACAGAATCTGATTTTTAATTAAATGAAATATGTGAGAAATATAATGTAACAAATAAGATAATATAAGAAAAATGCATTATATGGGAATTAGGCATTATTAAAAAGAGATATTCTTTAATAAAATAATGCCACAGTTACACATACCCCAAAAATACATTTTGAATGTTGCCTGCATGTCAATGGGTATATTGTCACCAGTATTACTGCTATTCGTGGATTGTTAACACTGTGTATGTTATTATATATAGTATTATATATTTGTGTGAAAGCATGAATAAATATATAAGAAAGATGGAGTCCATTAAACCACTCAGAGCAGTGCATAAAAGAAGAAAAATTGTTCTAGTAGAAATCAATTGTTGCAGCAAGTAGAAAAATAGTACAATGAATATTTCTCTGAAGATACAAAAAATGCTAAGTGATTCTCAAAACAAGAGACAGTTCTTATTGAAAGTTATAAAAGTAGATGGAAACTATAATATTTCAGAGCCATCATATGATATGAGGTATCAAGGGTGGTGAGCATCCCATTCAAGTTTTTTGCAACTCAAACCTTGCCTAGCTAGCTAGATTTTAAACCACGTAGGTGTATATCACTATGCTTATGTATGAAATTTTAGATCAGAAAATGGTCAACAGAATTCTCATATAACTGGAAACATAATAAAGATCCTTTTTTATGACCTACTCTGTGACAGGATCTCACAAACTCAGTGGCTAAGACAATAGTACAATTGTTATTTTACTTTTAAAATCTATCCATTTGTTCAATACCCTTAAGAATAACCTCTTGTGTTTTGTACAGAGAGCTGTTAGTTCAGCATCTGAGAATAATTGTTTACACCTGTTTCCTTCTTATGTGGATGCCACACTAGATTTATGTTTCTTTCTGAATCTAAAATAGTTTAAAATAGTTTCATTTACAAGAAACTAAATTCAAAATTATTGGAAGAAAAGACAACCCGATTTCTTTTTATCTAAACTGCTGGCCAATATATTACAATGACAACAACAACAACAAAAGCCCAAGACAAAATGAAATATTTTTGTAATTATTTTTCTCAATACAGTAGATAGTTTCATACCTGTGTAATTGTTCATCCTTGTTAGTCTTTAAGTTAATATTTGGCCACTAAAAACAGCAAATACAAAGCACGGTAAGAATTATTTCAATTAATTTCTTATTATTTCAATTCTTAAATGCTAATTAGGATATCATCGTACTGTACATCTTACCTTAAGTATGGTCCCTATCAGATTCCAATTCCATTCCAGATTTTCTTTGTGATGAAGAACTTGGCTATCTCTCAGATTCATTGATAGTGCTTCTTCAGTATCCTTCAGCAGCAGAAGGGGAAAGAAAAATAAGTCAATCCCACTGTAAAGTTGCCTCTGCGTTACTAAACACATTCCAAATTAACCATGCCAAAATTTATATGTTTTTAAGAAAATAAAACCCAAACCCCAGAGTTGAATTAGTATCTAGTAAGACAGGTTCCCATACAAATGAAAAAAAAAGTTAGCTTCGAATTACTTATAAAAGGAAGGTTTAGGTTAAAAAATATGTAAGTTCTATGTTCTTTTGAGGACAAAAAAAACATAGATAACTCTACCTTAAGAATAAAGATATCTTTCTGCACGTGATACTGATCTCTTCGCTGATGTGTTGACATAGCTTTCTGAACAATGTGATCTAGATGAAGACTGTAAGGTTTAGGTCCTCTTTTCTTCATTTCATGAAAGCGTTTCAAGCAGTTCAGTGCAGCACTGGCTCGTCTACCAGAAGAACATGAAAATGCAATTAGTTATTGGTATATTCTGTACATCTCAGGGATTTGTATGCCTAAATGATTTTAAAGCTTATTGATTTGAATCCAATACAAACCAAGTCCCATTTCAGGAGTCTAAATAAAATAGCAATTATATTGCTCTGATATTTATGCAGGTTTTGGATCTTTTCATTTGTTTCATGAACAAGTAATTATCAGATACAGATAAGTCCTCGACTTATGACCACAATTGAGCCCAAAATGTCTGTTGTTAAGTGAGATAGTTAAGTGAATTTTGCACCATTTTACAACCTTTCTTGCCACAGTTGTTAAGTGAATCATTTCAGTTGTTAAGTTAGTAACATGGTTGTTAATTGAATCTGGCTTCTCCATTGACTTGGGTTGTCAGACTGTCACATAACACGATAACATGATCCTGCCATAAATATGAGTTGCCAAGCATCTGAATTTTGATCACATGACCAAGGGGATGCTGCAACGGTTGTGTGAAAAATGGTCATGAGTCACTTTTTTCAGTGCTGTTGTAACTTTGAATGGTCACTAAATGAACTGCTGTAATTTGAAAACTAGCTGTATAAACAAAATTATTTGAATATAATTTACATGTAGTTCTATAATAATTGATTTTGCAAATTTTTGGTTCTTACACCAAGATTTAAAACTACTGTCTTTAGGGTTTGCTGCAGTGGAAAGGAAATTGTTTGAAAATGAAAATACTATTTAAGGATACAGCATTCAAGTTATGTAGTTCTAATACATGGTTCTAAGTTTAAATCATAGAGAAATAGCTTCTGAAAATGTTAACTAATACAATTAAAAATGACAAAAACAAAATACAACCTTGTAAAAATTAGCTCACTACCATTAGTCCTCTCTGGCCATAAACAGAAAAGAAAAGAAAAGCAATGACCTTTGAATAAGTGCTGCTTGTGTAGAAATATGCCAAATAAACTTAATGAAAGATGTGCTATTTAGACAAATACTGAATATGTTGTTTGCTTCACAGAATATATATTATAAAGTGTTATGAATCGTTGCAAACTTGCATTTAAGAGTCTAACTGAAATATAACATGGAAGGAAAACAACTGGCAATTTCAAAACAAGAAAACAAGTAGATTATACTTGCTTTCTTTTGAAAATAAACACAATCTGTCTTAATCACTATTTTGGCAAGGGAAATTTTCAGATGAAAATAATACAGGGAGCAAAATCTGCTCAGTAGTGTTATTTATGCAACTGGTGCTAATAAAAAGCTTGATAGAGCAGGGTCTACCATCAACAGAAAAAAGGAGGAAACTTTCAGTGAGAAGTAATTCTATCTCTCTTTCTGACTCATCAGTATTCTATTTTGATAAGTAAAATGTATAAATATGTACTCTGATGTGCATGAAATCTGAATGTATACTTTTATCTTAGTGTATCTAAGCATGATATTAACATTTATGCTTACAGTCTCTTCTCCTTTACAATGTCAAAAGAAGCTGCCATATTCATTAAAGTTGGTAAGCAGTGTAAATGATGGCTGTGACAATGTGGGAGAATGGTGTTTGCCTGAAAAACAGAAACAGCTTTAGAGGTTTTGAAACAAAGTCCAATGTATTCCACTTACTCGTTCCCACCCTCCTGCGAAACCTGTTTTATTTTAATGATATAAGACTAGAGCTTACTTCAAATAATATAATTAATAAAATACATTATTTTAAAAAATGGTGGGAAAACTAATGGAAAACACTCTTTCCTAACTGCTTGCTTGCTTGCAGCAAAGGAAATAGTCTAGTAGATCTCATGGTAAAGCCATTTACAAAATATTACCTACTAATTAAAGCAGGCAACAAGCAATTGATCACTCGTAATCTAAAAAGGACAACTTGCTGAAATGATAAGAGAGTAGAGCAAAGGTGTCAAACTCGCAACGTCACGTGACATGTCGTGATGTATCGCAACTTTTTTTCCATTGCCGGCAATGGGGTAAGTGTGGTTTCGGCATGACGCATCCGGCCCACGGGCCGGCAGTTTGACACCCCTGGAGTAGAGGGAGATCTCAAGTTAATAAAAGAAATTTAACTGTGTTGTCTTAAACCAGTGTTTCTCAACCTTGATAATTTTAAGGCATGTGGACTTCAACTCCCAGAATTCCACAGCCAGCATTGCTGGCTGTGGAATTCTGGGAGTTGAAGTCCACATGCCTTAAAATTGTCAAGGTTGAGAAACACTATCACCAAGAAAAGAGAAAAATTACAAGATCACCAGCAACAAATTGAAAACAAGCAAGGATTTTGCAGTAAACTGCCCACATTTTACAGATAAGGCAACTTTGATTTGTACACCAAACCTAGAGAAGCCTTAGATTTTAAGAGGGAAGGGAAAGTTACTTCTGTTACTATCTATCTTTTTTGCTAATGTAAGACAGCAACTTGAATATGTCTTGGCATCGTTTTTTAAGTTTTGAACATTATATCCTTGTCCTTTACTACTGGAAATGAAATCCAACCCTTAGTGCCTATTTCAAAGTGAAGAGCAGCTAACCAGCAAATGAAGATAAGTCTCTCTTACCATATGCAAAAGTTCCCCCAGTAAGATAGTTGCTCTGACAGATATATGATCATTGCTGCTTGTGATTACTTCAACTAGACCCTGGAATAATTAAGAAGTAAAATTCTAGATATATGGTGCACATATGACATCCACGTTGCTTTACACTGAACATACTGTACTAAAGAACAGAATTTTATTTTATTTTTGCAATTTAATTTGAACTTACTTCTAAGAGTCCATTTCTAATGAAAGCAGAGAGAACCAGGGCCAAGTAATTGTCCATGAGGTCAGGCCTAGGTAAAATTAAAAATAAATAAATTAAAAAATGACAATCCTTCACATTGAAATGTTTTTTTAGAAAAATCTATTTCAAAACTATTTCTTTATCAAAGTGAGGCAAAGCATGTGTATTCTGCTTGGGTAATAGTTAAGTACCTGGATCTGGCTCGGTGAGGTAATATAACTTTAGCTTCTGCAGCTACAAAGCCATCAGAAAGTCTCCAGCTGTCCTGAAAATGGCTTGGATCTACACAAATAAAAATGTGGAAAAAATGCTAAGTTTAAAGGTGGACAGCTGAAAACCCTGTAAAATTATTGCATGGCCTTTCTCATGTGGTTTGGCATTATTATTTCTCACTGTTTCCTTAGCAGTTTTTCCTCCTATTCTGCAGTGCTCGGACAGAGTTCATGCTTGTCTTGCCCACATCATAAAAAATGTTAAGTTTAAAATATTTCATGCGTGATAGTGATGATTCAAATATAAATTATTTTTAAAAAGCATTTCATATATTAGCAATTTAGACAACAAACGGATTTCCCTCAGAGGGGCCTTTTATATGTCATAAATAAAATGCTTAGAAATGTATGCCACGATTCAAGTTTATGAAAGAAAGATTACTGCATAATTATTGCCATTCAGCTACGGTTAAAGTCCCCAATACAGTACCAGATAAAGGAATGCTCTTCCATCTTCCCAGCAAATACCATGGCGCATTTCCCTGGTTCCAATACTAACCTACACTGAGAAGTGCTTCTATAAATTCTTCTGTCACAACAGGAAGAGGAAGGCGAAATATATCATATAGAACTTCAAGCAAGCCTCGCTGTAACATAAACAGGAATAGGATTACAAAGATGAGTAGAAATATATTTATATGACGCTAATATCAAAAATAATACAACTCAGGCATTAAAAAATATGGACCACCTTCTTCAGGGTAGCTAATATCCTATTATAATTGCCAAAATGTTAACTGTTTATTAAACATTTACAGCAGGAAACTAGTTTTTAAACAGTGGGCACATTATGAATGTTGAGAACATGTGATGGATGTATTGACACTCTGTCAGGGAATGGGGTTGCCCAATCACAAAATGGCTATCTTGGTGGGACATCTAAAGCAACAACTATTACAAGAATGTGACTTGGCAAATGTGGCTCCTTCTCCCAGGATACTTTGTACCAATCTGATTTTTGTTTTTCTGAAGAGAGGGGAACAGGTAGGCATTCTGCAAAATAAAACATTAGATTGCATACGACGTACATGTTTTAGGAGTCTTTTCTTTTTTTAAAAAAGCCATTTTTTTATAATGGTCTTTCCCAGCCATCTATCTCTAGATTTAATCAACTGCTTTTATTTTGATTTACTCTGATTTTTTTTTATGATTACAATAAATTGCTTTGGGATGCTTTGTAATAGAAGTTCTAGAAAAACATTTGCAATAAATAAAATATAAACAATCTGCATTGGGCTAAATAATGTATGGCAGTTAATGTACAGTATGCCAAAATGAGTAGATTAAGTTTACTGAATATGACGGCAATTCTCATGTTTTCATTAAGTTTTTAAATTCTACTGAACTTTAAACCAAATTGTGATTTATAACCACTTAAAACAAAACTTAATGTAAGCAATCCCCACAAATACCGATGGCAATATCTGGCAGAGCCTTTGACATGTCCTCACAAAGAATATAGATGCCTAAGAAAATGGATGTTATAGATTTCCTAGATTAACAGTATTTTGAGAACTGAGTGTGGACTGTGAAGAACATTCAAATCTCACAATTCTAACTGCAGAAGTTGAAAACATACCCGCACTTCCATGTTAGGTATACATAACACTCCAATAAGAGATTGGATCCCAGAATTTCCAGGCTTACATAAACTAATTATACCTGAGAACAAAATGAAAGGCATAATTATATAATGGTAGAGTAGTATTCTGTGTTATGTTTTTACATCTGAACACATAAGCAGACACTTTTGTTACAGTTTCAGAGTCTGTTAAAGCCCAGAGTCCATTGGAGTTAGGCAGCCAATAAAACCATGCAGGTAATCCTCGATTTACAATCAGTTGCCTAGTTCAAAGTAATGATGCAGCTCCCTGGTATACTTTCAACCCAGTTCCAAAGTTATGATGACCACCCCTCTCCAATCACATGGCCACACTTTGGGCACTTGGCAATGGACTTGCATTGTAGACATTTGCAACATCCCACACTCATAACTATCTTTTACAATGTTTTTGCCCAAAAGTCAGCATTTACTTCTGGTTTTTGCAAAACTGGCCCATAGTAAACAATTAGTTTGCTTAACAACCATGGCATGACCACTGCAAAAACAGGTCGTAAAATCAGGTCAGTGATCCATTTTATGGGTGATCCATTTTATGACTGTCACGACTTATAACCATAATGGACAGGCTTCATTACAATTGTAAGTTGAAGACTACCTGTAAACAAATAATAAAGTAAAAAAAAATCAGAAAAAACAGGTGCCATCAATACATTTAAACCATCTACTTGTCTAGTGCATGTTATTTTTTTTTCTGCACTGAAAGCCAAGCATTTAATTCATCCTTTCTTACCTAAAGAAATTTCCTATCTACAGTTTGCCCACAGTAGGAAAGTTTTATTTCCAGGAAATTCTACTTACATCTATAAAGCATCTATATCAGTGATGGCGAACCTTTCAGAGACCAAGTGCCCAAAAATCGCCCCCCATTGACCCTGCCCCACAGCCCGCCGCAGATCGCCCAGGCAGCCCAGCTGTGCCATGGCGGCCACGTCTTCCACCCATGCCCTGTAGCATTGTCTGCACACAACGGGACACGAGGGCGGAGTTTTGTCCCTGCTACCCGGCTGCCATGTCCTTGGCTGCTCTGCTCCGCGCGGGCCACGCCTGAGGGCGAGTCGTCTTGCAGGTGGGCTGATGGTGAGGAGGGGACCATGGGGGGAGGCGGGGCTGGGGCGATGACATGCGTGCCCACAGAGAGGGCTCTGAGTGTCCCTTCTGGCACGTGTGCCATAGGTTCGCCACCACTGATCTATATACTACTAAAACTCTGCTTCATGTAACCTTTAACTGGGGGAACCATGGCACCGCAAATGGGTTAATTTACAGAAAGCATTCTAAATCTGAGATCCACGACTCCCATGGAATTGAAATTTGGTAAATTTTATAAAACATTTTATGACATAAATATTATCATAAAGCAGTTTATGATATAATACAAAATGTCATAAAATGTTTTCTGTGCTTATGCTTGTGCTGTACAATTCACCATGAGCTAAACAGTTTATGACATAATATGGAATGCCATAAAACACTTCCTATGCTGATGTTTGACTATGCTAAACAGTTCAACATGGGCTATTTTCAAAGCAGAGAGGACACAGGTATATGTGGGCATGTATGTGTGTCTATTATTCTACTTACTAAATTCAGTTAAAGTGAGAACAAATAACCTACCTGCCCATGATCGAAATGCTGCCACAATTCCCATTTTACTAGCAGAAAGCCGTGCTTCTCTGTCCTCTCTTAAAAAAAAATAATAAGTAAAGACTATTATTTTTATTGTTTTTTTAAAATGGTATTGCTGTAAAGAGCTTATTCCAAATTAGGAATCTGGGAATAGCAGAGGATGATTGTGTACTTACTTGAGCTGTCCTTCTGCAGTGTCTGGATTATGCCTGTAGTGAAAGTCTGTGTATGGAGCTAAAATCCGCTACAATAAAGAAGACCGGTGTCATTCTTATTACCTTATTATACTTTACTATCATACTTAAATCTATTTAAATGCTTTTAAAAATAACGTCCTCTTTTTCTGTATAATTATCTGTATATTTTGTCAATAGAACTGGCAAGATACAATTGATCTGGGATTTGTATATTTTGTCAATAGAACTGGCAAGATACAATTGATCTGGGATTTTAACATGAAAATATGTATCTTGTCCCTGCATATAAATTCATCTAGTTTTTTATTGTTAAAAGAAATAGTGTTAGAAAGAGAAGACACTGGGAGATGCTGTAAACTAATTTGGTTTATAAATCAGTTTATAAACTAATTTTATAAACTTTATAAATATTAACTGATTTTGAAAAAAAGAATAATTTACATAAACATATGCAAGTATCAAATTTCAATGTTAATAGATAATATTCTGTTATTAAAAGCCAAAACTGTAGTTCAAAGTTACAACATTGTTGAAAAAAATAACTTTACGATTAATCCTCACACTTATGACAAACATAGTCAATGGAGAAGCTGGCAGTAAAATCAGACTACATGATATATTCCTTAACAACTATAGAAGTGAGATAGTAAGTCTATCATGGTCATGTGATGTCTTGCTTAGCGACAAAGTGGCAGCTCCCAATTGTGGTTGCTAAGTGAAAACTACATGTAAATAAGCAATTCAAGATTAGAACAAATAAGCACATTAATGCAATTATATTTAAAATTACCTCTAATTCCACATCAGCTCGCACATATTGTCGGGTATTTGGATGATTAAGAAGATGTAAAACAGTCGTTATGAGAGCTTCATTTATACGGCTTAATTGACAATCTATCACATTTTTCAAAATGGTACTTAGACCACCACGGAAAGCAACTATTTCTGGATTTTGAATCGCTGAAAGAGATTATTCCATTTTAAAGAATATTAAATATTTTAAAATTTTGATAATATTTAATCACATTTCCACAGGCAAAAATCTTACATTTAAATGTTAAAACATTAAATTACTTCTTAAATTCATTTTTCAAAATGCTATAAAATAGTTCTAAATGCCTTAAATCCTTCCAAGATTATGTAATTCATCACCAATCCATACTACACTCCTTAAAGAAACTTTTAGAACTCTTATTTAAGACTCATTTCAAATTGTTCAAAAACACACATCAGAATAGGTATTAAAGATTTAGCAACAAGTTTAAATTTATTCAATGTATCTTTCTCCCTGATTATGTTCTACATATTTATTCAGTAATTCTTGAGTCCAGTCACCTGGATTATTATACTTGGCTTTGATACAAATCTAAATTTATTTCAAAAGACATATGGGAAGGGGATGCAATCAAAATTACACATATTTGCCATCTACTGTATAAATTGTCCATTCATTCCAAGAGACTGATAATTCTCTCTACTAAATCTCATATTTAACTGAAATAATTTTAAAAATGTTTACCTAATTCACAGATAATAGCAATACACGCTCGAACCATCCTGTCCCTCTCTTGAAGGCCATCATTTCCAACAGCTATCAAAGAATTGGTAACTGAACTGGGAAATAATGAAGCATTGACTGTAATCATCTGCAAAGAAATGTAGAAAGAAGTATTTGCTGCATAGATGGTTCAATTAAGGAACAATGCAAAATATTCAATTATTCATAAAACAGTATTTCACTTTTTGAACATTTTGTTTTCGTATTCTGTTCTTAATCTGTAACATCTTAATTTTTAATTTTATTTTTCAAAAGATAACTGATGTACTACAGCCATACAAAGAAGCAGCCCTAAGAAGGGAAAAAATTGCTGCTAGAACATCTTCAAGATCTTTTTATTCAATTTACCCACAAAAATATACTCAAAAGCTACTTCACGAGCTGCTGAAATGTGCCCCAATAATTTCTCCATCTGAAATGGTCATTAAATAATAATGTCTATGGAAAAGCTAGGAGTATGAGTATGACCATACAGTTCCAAATGTGAACCTATAAGTCCTGTCTGCCCAGTTAAAAATAAGTGATTTAGTTAGAGGCCAATTTGATTAATTTTCTTAGATGGAATTTTAAACCATGGACATCAATAAGGTAAGAAAGTAGACTGGCATACACACATTTTGAACCAGAGTTTAATTGCAGCTAACCATGTCCCAACTTCAATAAGCCCAATTCCTAAAGGGACTGTAACATTTGGTATACAGCTGATCAATGTTAAATGGACTCTCAAAACGTGGGCCTGAATATTAGAGTCCTTGAGTTATTATATTTATCCACTAGAAGCCCCACATAGCAGAAAATGGACCTACAGTAATTAATACTTGATGCTTCTTTTATTTGATATTTCTCCATCCTATCTTACGCTTTTCCTGAAAGTCCATTGACTTTGATTGCCTTTGGAAAGTCATGGGGACTACACGGAGTATGCTGGTACAAGGTGCAGTAGCACAAGAAGTTTTTTTGGGCTCACAGAATGACACATGTTGCACCATTGCTTCCCGAGCTGCACTGGCTGCCAGTTTGCTTCCAGATGCAGTTCCAAGTGTTGGTTATGACCTTTAAAGCCCTCTATGGCATAGGTTCAGATTATCTGATGAGCCATCTCGTCCCATTAAGGCAAGCCCAACCTACTTAAGCCGGCAGAGGCGGCCTGCTGAGGATCCCATGAGTCACAGAACTCCGACTGATAAGATCAGGAGAACAGCCTTCTCTGCTATACCACCAGCACTCTGGGACATTCCCGGGGGTGAGATTTGTCTCCATCTCCCTATCCTTCCGCAAGGGCCTGAAGACCTAGCTCTGCCAGTTGGCCTGGGGACCAAATGGGAGAATACATCACTGAAGGTGATTGCTGAACTAACTTGCTGACCCACCTTCCTCTTCCCATACTACTCATCTTTTTAATCTCATATTATTGTACTTCCACTGTTTATTTTTATTGTTTCATTCATTTACTATTGTTATTTTTAAGTGTTTATTATTTTTTCCCATTTTATTGTTGTAAGCTGCCCAAAGTAGCCCCATGATGAGATGGGTGGCAATAAATTTAGCAAATAGTTCAGAACTGTGACCATGGATAAGGGACATAACCAAATAGTTATATTTATGTATATATTTGTTTTGTACTTGTAATCTTGTTTATACAATGTTAACTGAATTTCATTACCAGCGCTGTTTTCTACATCAAATAATCAAGCTATTTGCAATATTATTTTATAGTCATATAAAACGTGAGATGTATAATTAGTAAATAACAGTATTATATTGTGAGTCTTCACATACCTTTCTGACTAAACGAAGTGCTTGTGTTCGTTCTACTTCATTACTTTGCTGTATATCTATGCATCTAAAATTAAATACATATATATTTATGTACTTATATTTATAACTATCTATAAAACATGGTTTATTTTTTAAATGTTTGATGTATTAGTTCCTTGTATTCAGACATTAAAATTCAGTATTATTGGATCCAGAATTTGCCTCTCAATACACAAAGGCTTCCTTCCTTCCCTAAAAGTTGATCTGTAGAATACTTTTGATGGAAAAATAGTACAGGTGACATTTTACTATTCCTCTTGAAAATCTACTTCCAAAAGATTAGCAGGGAGAAGTGGAATCTTCTACTACATGGGTGGGAACTTCATAGGGGTAGCATAGGAAAGAAAGAATTAGCAAGAACTATATTTTTCACTTCCTCTCAAAGTAAAAGTAGAGCACTACTAGTGGCTAAAAATGCTCAAATCTACCCAAAATTATTTTACAGATTATGAGATCCAACTTCTCAACATTATGTGGTAAAATAATCCAATAAATAATCTTTGATTTATGACAATTGGGGTTGGAATATCAATTAAGCAAGATACCCACATGACCGCTCCACTCAACAACCACAATCCTAGCTAGTTGTGGACATTAAATGACCATATGGATCATTAAGCAGACAAAACGAAAGGAGTTGCCTGCCACAGGTAGGAAAGCAATTCCCTTCCATGTGCAGAAGGGAACTCCTGCAATGGGGCTCAGATCTTTAGCAGTAGCACTTATATACCGTTTCATAGAGCTTTACAGCCCTCTCTAACCAGTTTACAGAGTCAGTATATTGCGCTCAACAATTCAAGCTTCATTTTTGCAGCCTATCACAGGAGTTCCTTTCCCCTCCATGTGGAAGAGAATGCCTGTGATTGGCTGGAGAAACAAAACTCAGATCTATGGAATGCAAGCTTCATTTCTCTAGTCCCTCTTCCCATTCACAGAAGGAAACTCCTGCAGCAGGTTGCAGAAACAATGATCAGATCTGAAGATCTGAGCTTCATTTCTGCAGCCCAATGGATTTCCATCTTTCCACCCTGCAGTGCGTGGAGGGGAAGAGGAATGCTTAGACAGGTGACAGCAGCTTGCAACCTTTCCTGCTGGCTTTCCTACTGACTTCCTGGGGAGATCATCAGAGAAAATTTCAAATGGCAATCACACAAGTGTAAACAGTTATCAAACACCCAGATCACAATCATCTGACCATGGGAAAGGAAGGGCAACATTTTATGATGGCCAGAAGTGCTTTACAGATCATAAAGCACCCTTTCCAAGCTATCTTAACTTCAAACATTTGTTAAACAACCAGTCATAAGTTGAAGATGACCTACATTTGCCTCAAAGCTTCCATCATGAACTGTTCCAGGCCATTCCCTTATAAACGACTGTAGCTTTATTGCTCCAAATCGTAGTATCAACAAGATAATATCATCAGAAGAAACAACCCAAAAATTACAAAATATGCAGCAGGTTCTGTAGATGCTTTTATTAG